CAAGAGAAAGAAATAAAGGGTATTCAATTAGGAAAAGAGGAAGTCTAATTGTCTCTGTTTGCAGATGACATGATTGTATATTTAGAAAACCCCAGCGTCTCAGCCCAAAATCTCCTTAAGCTGATAAGCAACTTCAGCAAAGTCTCAGGATACAAAAATCAATGTACAAAAATCAATGTGCAAAAATCACAAGCATTCCTACACACCTATAACAGACAAACAGAGAGCCAAATCATGAGTGAACTCCCATTCACAACTGCTAGAAAGAGAATAAAATACTTTGGAATACAACTTATAAGGGATGTGAAGGACCTCTTCATGAAGAACTGCCAACCATTGCTCAAGGAAATAAGAGATGACACAAACAAATGGAAAAACATTCCATGCTCATGGATAGGAAGAATCAATATTGTGAAAATGGCCATACTTCCCAAAGTAATTTATAGAATCAATGCTATTCCCATCAAGCTACCATTGACTTTCTTCACAGAACTGAAAACGACTACTTTAAATTTCATATGGAACAAAAAAAAGAGCCCACATAGCCAAAAATACAACAAAAAAGAAGAAGGAAACAAACAAACAAACAAACAAAAAAACAAGGAACAAAGCTGAAGGCATCATGCTACCTGACTTCAAACTATACTACAAGGCTACATTAACCAAAACAGCATGGTACTGGTACCAAAGCAAATATGTAGACCAATGGAACAGAACAGAGGCCTCAGAAATAACAGCATACATCTACAACCATCTGATCTTTGACCAACCTGACAAAAACAAGCAATGGGGAAAGGACTCCCTATTTAATAAATGATGTTGGGAAAACTGACTAGCCAAATGCAGAAAGCTGAAACTGGATCCTTTCCTTACACCTTATACAAAAATTAATTCAAGATGGATTAAAGACTTAAACATAAGACCTAAAACCATAAAAACCCTAGAAGAAAATCTAGGCAATACCATTCAGGACACAGGCATGGGCAAAGACTTCAGAACTAAAACACCAAAAGCAATGGCAACAAAAGCCAAAATTGGCAAATGGGATCTAATTAAACTAAAGAGCTTCTGCACAGGAAAAGAAACTATCATCAGAGTGAACAGGCAACCTACAGAATGAGAGAAAATTTTTGCAATCTATCCATCTGACAAAGGGCTAATAGCCAGAATCTACAAAGAACTTAAACAAATTTAGAAGAAAAAAGCAAACAACCCCATCAAAAAGTGGCGAAGGATATGAACAGACACTTCTCAAAAGAAGACATTTATGCGGCCAACAAACATGAAAAAAAGCTCATCATCACTGGTCACTAGAGAAATGCAAATCAAAACCACAATGAGATACCATCTCACCCCAGTTAGAATGGCGATCATTAAAAAGTCAGGAAACAACATATGCTGGAGAGGATGTGGAGAAATAGGAATGCTTTTACACTGTTGGTGAGAGTGTGAATTAGTTCAACCATTATGGCAGACAGTGTGGTAATTCCTCAAGGATCTAGAACTAGAAATATCATTTGATCCAGGAATTCCATTACTGGGTATATACCCAAAGGATTATAAGTCATTCTACTATAAAGACACATGCACACATATGTTTATTGTGGCACTGTTCACAACAGCAAAGACTTGGAACCAACCCAAATGCCCTTCAATGATAGACTGGATAAAGAAAATGTGGCACATATACACCATGGAATACTATGCAGCCATGAAAAAAGACATGGATTTGGAGGGACGCGGATGAAACTGGAAACCATCATTCTCAGCAAACTAACACAGGAACAGAAAGCCAGACACTGCATGTTCTCACTCATAAGTGGGAACTGAACAATGAGAACACATGGACACAGGGAGGGGAACGTCACACACCAGGGCCTATTGGGGGTTGAGGAGCTGGGGGAAGGATAGTACTAGGAGAAATACCTAATGTAGATGACGGGTTGATGAGTGCAGCAAACCACCATGGCACTGTATGCTTTGTAACAAACCTGCATGTTCTGCACATGTACCCCAGAACTTATAGTATAATCAAAAACAAATAAAAAAATTTTTTACTGATATTATAGCAAAAAGTCACGACACTATAAACTCCTTAGACAGTGCCCACCCTCATATTCCCGGTGCCTAATGTTGAGCCCAATATACAAGCATTTTTAAAACAGGAAACACTGCCTGAATAAATTAGAACAGATTTTCATAGCCATTTATCTACAAATAATTGATAGTTCCATTTGCATAAAAACATAGCTCATTTGTTCTTTTAAGAGCTTCTTACATTTTTAAGACATATTTAAAGTTTCTCAAAGGAACCAATGAACCAAAGGTAACATACATACTATAGTCTTGTTCCTTAACACTGGAGTTTCCTTGATAGAACGTAGAACTATATGTTTAAGTTAAAAAAATTAATTCCTTTGTTTCTTTTTTAAGAGACAGGGTCATACTCTGTCACCCAGGCTGGAGTACAGTGGTACAATCATAGCTCACTGCATCCTCCTAGGCTCAAGTGATCCTTCCACCCTAGCCTCCTGAGTAGCTAGGCCTAGAGGCACACATCACCATGGCTGGCTCTCTTTTTTTTTTTTT